GGGGTGGGGGGGGGGGGGTTCCATGTGGACTCAGGTGGTCAGGGAGGGCTCCCTGGAGGAGTGGGCAGTGAGCTGGGCCCTGGGGGATGAAGGGCCAGCATTTCTCCCCTGGATAAGAGGTAAATGTGGGAGCAGTGGCTGAGCACCCTCCTTCCTTCCCTCTGTCGGGTGGGTGATGGGAATAAGGCACCTGGATACAGGACCCCTCTGAGCACCAATGACCTGTGACGCTGAAGAGCCTGCGTGCAGCGCACCCTGTGACCTGGGACCTTGCTGCTCTTATTACGTGTTATTATAATTAAACTACAAAATCCGCGGAGGGCTCGCCACGCCTGGAGCCTGGCCGGGGCTGAGGACACGCACGTGTCTCCTGGCCCCTCCCTGCCAGGCCAGTCATCCCTCGTGGCAGCAGGTGCCTGTCCCCTGGCTCCACGGGATGGGGGTTGCCTTTTTTCACCACGACACCCCTGGGCCCTAGCGCTGAGCCTGCACATAGTAGGCGCCTAGTGAATATGTGCTGAGTGGACGAATGGACGCATGAACGAAGGAGTGAATTAAAGGCAGGTGCCCCTGCTCTTGGGGCCTGGACCATCCATCCCTAAAGGGAGACCCAAGTAAAGAGCTCACTGCAGCCCTAGCTGGTTTGCCGCAGTGGATAGAGCATCTCGGTTTCTATCTCACTCCTTCTTCCTTCCTCTCTGAAGTAAGTAAAAAAAAATTATATTATTTCAGAGCGGAAAGGAGAGGAGAGAGAGAGAGAGAAACATCAATGATGAGAGAGAATCATTGATTGGCTGCCTCCTGCATGTCCCCTACTGGGGATCAAGCCTACAACCCGGGCATGTGCCTTTGACCGGAATCGAATAAGGGAACAACCCTTCAGTCCGCAGGCTGGTACTGTACCCACTGAGCCAAACCAGCTAGGGAGTGTAAAAATATATTTTTTTAAAAAAGCAAAAAAAGCCAGGCTGGCTGGCTCAGTGCTTGGGCATGGACCTGTGGACCTATGAACCAGGAGGTCAGGGTTCGATTCCCGATCAGGGCACAGGCGGGGTTGTGGGCTCGATCCCCAGTGTAGGGCGTGCAGGAGGCAGCCGATCAATGATTCTCTCTCATCATGGATGCTACAATCTCTCTCTCCCTCTCCTTCCTCTCTGTCATCAATAACAATATATATATTTTTAAAAAACAAAAAACTCAATGCAAACAGCTGAGCAGGTGCCGAGTGATTGGCCAAGCTTCACGGTGCAGGGGCCGCCTGGCCGGTCTGGGGGGCTTCGGGCACCCACCGCGCCGTCCCCTGCCCTGCTGACCTGCTGACCTGCTGAC